TAAGCATAGTCTTGCTAGCACCCACACCTAAAATGAGTCCTTCGCTAAGCGAGCCATTCTCACTCAACGAGAGAAGCTTGTTGGGTTCCCCTCACTAGGCGAGCTTAACCCCATGTGGGTCACCTCGTTGAGCAGTAACAATTTGTTGAGTGAGTTAGACTTTTTATGGGTCCCCTTGTTTTGTAATCACAGCTCCTTAAGCGAATTGGACCTTTTGTGGGCCCCTTCATTGGTTGAGCTCCTCACACTACACCACCACAAATCCATCCTCATGTTAGGCAACATATGTGTCACTTGGGGCGCCTTCAAAGTGTTCATTGTGAACACTCATTTTCGTTGAGTGACCCATCTCGTTGTTGCGTGAGAATACAAATATCAAATTTATAGCCTTCAATATGAAGCCTCACTCAACGAGCCAACGCTCTAACTTGAACTTCACTAAGAGTTCTTACTTCTCCCAACATCCACAACTTCAAAACTCCACATGCAACCCATGATTCCAACTCTATTATCACAAATGACTCCAAAAACACTACATCTCACACATGCAACCACAAAACTTCTCAAATAACACATCAATAAAACTTAAACCCTAACTTCACCCAAAAACTTATTCAACATCAAATTCATCTTAGAATGCCACCAATGGGGAAAATAACACAAGAATTAACACAAACAACTCAAGAAAGATCAATCTACAAGCCTCCCTTACCTCAATTGCTTCCAGAACAAGAAGGATCAAAAAAGAAGGGAAGAACAACTAAACCTTCAATGGTTGACTTCTCTCTAAGATTCCAAGCTCCTTAGCTCAAATCTCTGCTTTGACTACTCAACCTCAGCTTTAAGGGAAGACAAAAAAGCTCCTAGTGGAATCAAAACAAAGATCATCAGGCTTCCAATCCATAACATTTCTCTCTAAAACTTATGGAAAATGAACTTATAAAGTTCATGTTTTCCTAAAACCTTATATACCTTCCCTCTCGTTATTAGTCAGCTTTGACCTTAACTCAACCAACTCTAAACAACACAACTCATAAGAATTCATTAACGTCACATAAACAATATGCAACAACTTAAAACATCAAACATTACCAAATAACTCAAAACATGCATAAAAGCAAAACACAGTGTTACACCAACACTCTTAAAATCTATCTTTTGAAAAATTATTTCAGTCTTCTTTATTGATTCAATAAAACTTCAATTCCCCTTCTTTCAATAGCTAAACATGAAACATAAAAAAATGTATAAAAAAAAAAGTTGAGAAAATAAAAATAATACATTTAATTCTAAAATTTATTTGAGTGAGGAAAATGATTTAAATTTATAATAAATGACTCTAAATCTAAAAAAAGAAATTAATAAAAAAAAAAGATAATCCAAGAGACATATCTTTGTATTTATTATTTTTTGTTCAAGGGTGGGAGATATCTTTCATGCAAAATCTTCACAAAACATAATCTTACATTTTTTGAACTTATCTATTCCAATTATTTCCTTGAGGACAAATATTTAAATTTAAGTCAATCCAAATCGAAGTATTTTAATTAGATTTTTTTAGCCAAACTTTATCAAACTTTTAGATAATAATTTTATTCAAACTCAATCCAATTCAACTTATATATAATGCTAAAAATGCAGGGAAGAGAGCTATTAAAAAAACAAAACATTAAACAACTTATTTATTTATATTCTAAGTTCCAACTATATAAGAAAAATAAATATTTAGAACGTGGTTGTATAAACTTATTTATAAACACTTATAAGAGAAAGAAATATATAAGAAAAACAAAAATAAAATTATTTTTTTCATAGGACCATAACTTGAATTTATGATATGACTTATTTAAAGCTTAATCTAGTTTGACCTATTTAATAAGGTTAGGTCTACTTTCAAAAAAAAAAATCTATTTATTTAAAAAGACTAAGTTTAAACTTATAAAAAAAACTTGTTAAGCATAATAGGTCGGTTTATTTATCTATATGATATAGTAAAAAATAATATAAATATAATATTATTAACAATATAATTAAATACAAAAATTTGTAAGACAAAAAATCAAGTTATCAATAATTTTTTACATTCCCACTACACTTAAATATTTTATATTCCTTATTTGTATGAAATTAACAAATCAAAAATTAAAGTTTTAAGAGCCACATCTGTGCTTGCTATTTTCCCTCATCTTCATGGTTGGTTATCTAAAATACTTCAAATGGGATATAAGAAAATATTTAGAAAGTTTTTTTTTTTTTTTGGATAAAACTATTTTCTTTCATTACAACTTGTGCGTAGGAATGAGAATAGGTCAAGTTAGACCAGACGTTGAATATATAGGTTGGGCCTATTATGAAAAATTAAAGTCTAAGCCTAGCCTATTATCTATCATAGGTTTTTTTTTTTTTTTATTTATAGGATTGACTTGACCTTTTTAACGTCTAATCTGGCTTATTAGTCTATTTAAAAACCTATTTAAACTATAAATGTTAATTAGGTTAATAAACTTAATTTTTAAAAATAAAAAATTACTTTAAAGATATATTTTACTCAATATTATTAAAATTTAAATTTTAAAAGAAATATAGAAGAAAAAATAATTATTTTTTATTAAACGAATAATTCATGTGTAACCATGTATATTAATGTACACTTATGCACAAGTCGAAAGCTTATAAACTTATAATAAAAAATAATTATATAAAAATATTTTAAATATTAATAATTTATTTTTATTTTATAAATTTATTTGTTTATTTATATTTTAATAATATATATATATACACACATTAATTTTTATTATTATTATATTATATAAATAAATAGGTTGATTTATCAAACCTAACAAATTTTTCTATAAAGTCTAAGCTTAGGGGTGAGCAACGGGTGAGTTTGGTCGGGTTCGGGTGAAAAATGTCTAACCCGTTGTAAACCGACTTTGAAAAAATGTGACCCATATCCGACCGTCTGAGCTTTCATTTGAGGCAGTTCGGGTTAAAACGGATTCGGATTTGAGCGGGTGGGTACAATCGGGTTTGAATTATTTTGTAGACCAATTTATTTTAACGAAGATGAAGCTTAAAACAATTAAAAAAATATTTCTAAAATAGTGTATAAAAATAGAATGAAGGTGACAATAGATGATGTAAGTAGATTCGTAGATGAAACATTTACAAACTAAAGAAGCAAAAATAAAAGATAACAAAATTCATAGTTGTTACATGCAAAAGAAATCTAAAGTTAGATTACAAAACCCATAAGAAATCACAGTCGCACAAGTTGTACTCAAAATGGAGATAAGAAGATGGAAAAGAAAGACAAAGAAAGAAGCAAAAAGATAACTCTAAAAATGGACTAGTGTGTTAAGAAGTTGAATGAGGAAGGAGAAGACAAAATAAATATCTAAGTTATGAGAAAAAAGAAAAAAGTAAGTTACAAATTGATGGCTATATTATACTTGAAATAAAGACTTTTAAGTTTGGACTATTGTTGTTTAGTTATACAAAAGTAATAAAAATTTAAACTTATCTCATTTTCGGTTGGGTTCGATTTTTGGCGGGTTTAAAAATTCAAAACCGAACCCGCCCAATATAACCCGTATAAAATCAAAATTTTAACCCGATTTACCCATAAGACCCACCCTAACCCACCCAAAAGCAATATTTTTTATCGATTTTTTCAGGTTCAGTTCGGGTCTCGGTTTAATGTTCACCCCTATCTAAGCCTGACCTTTTTATATAAACAGGCTTGTTAAAAACTTAAACTTGACTTTTTTATTAAATAAGTCAAGTCAGACCAAACTTTAAGGAGGTGAGGCCATAAGCTCTTGTTTAAGACCTGACCTATTTTCATCCCTACGGGTATGTGAGTATAAATTAGTATACATAGATATGCATGAATTGTTCCTATTAAGTTCGTTTTTCTATTTTATCTTAAACACTAAATTTTAATAATAATAATAATAATAAAGTAAATTACTTTTTTTTATGAAAATTAAAAAAAAAAGACTTGCAGGTATATTTAGAAATATAATTATTAAATTATCTAAAATTAAATTTATGAATCTATTTGACATTGTTAATGTAAAACAAGTTTTTAAATATGTTAACATGGTAGACCATACTTTTAAAAAAAGTTTATGATAGATAATAGATTAAACATAAAACTTTAATTTTATTGAACAAACCCGACTTATATATTCAAAACCTAATCTAATTTGGCCTATTCACATCCTAATTCACAAGTTAAAAATAATTTATTTAAGTTAATTTGTTGAAAAAAATTTATATTAGTTTTGCTGGAAAAAATATTTTTAATTTATACATAAATTAATTTTTATTATTATCTTTTCTTATAAATATTTATAAGAAATTTATTAAAATAGAGCTTAATCAATCTCAACCAATGTTATTTAACAAATATTGTCACGACTTGTCTTGTTCACTGTAGATGAACCATCCGTATTCAATTAGTATCATGTTTTATTTATCTTGTTTTTGGACTAAAGGATAATTCGAATAATATGACAATAATTTTTTTTGAGCTTTCAACCTCAATTGAGTATGTATGATTGTTTTAAATTTCTCACCATGAAACTTCAAATTCCTTGAAGAGATAAAAATAATAGTTAAAATTATCAAAGACTAGACATATTAAATGACTCTTGCCCTTTCTTTTTGCTCTTCCCAAATGGATTCAAACAAGCTACATCTCGAAAAATCAGTAGTAATGGACACATGCATTTTTACTCAACATTGGATATCACCTTACAACTAGAAATTCAAGCTGTATATTTCTTTTCCAATTAAATAGCATCTAATCAGTGTTTAATTCAGAAAAAACTGATGATTATAAAAATTGTAATTAAGGATGAAAATAAAAAGAAAAAAAAATCGATTTACCCAATCATGTAGATAGAAAAGACTGCCAGGTGTATTAGATACCGGATATCAAATATTATGAATGGAAGCACATAGTCGGGTATAGGGTAGGTGTCATGGGATTCTTATGAGGATAAACAGACTATTAGCTGATGATAAACATGTTTCACACAGAAGGATCGTTGTTTAGTTTTAAAATTTTGTACATAAATAGTTAAATCAAGCTGTTGTTCATCGAGTTAACAGGTTCGAAGTGTCATCCCGTAAAAATTTAGTTAACAAAACCATTTCTAAATTGCAAGCAATCAAAATTCCAAACAACATCGCAGAAGTCCAGCATCTTTATAACACCTGACATCCCATCTTCTGCATTATTGTCACTCAGCTACACAGAACAAAAAGGAAACCACAGGAGACATCAGAAACATTTCCATAGATTAGAGAATACAGATTAAAAATAAAACTAACATTCAAATAAAAACATATTTCAGAGGGGAATAAAATAAGTAGCTACTTATTATACTTGCTATAATCATAAAATAATATTTTCTATCGGCAATTGTAAACAGGGCAATGGTCAATGGGCTACTATAACATCACTTCTGCATTGAAGCATAGGTGTAGAACTGCTGGCTAACAACTCTAAATCTCATGCGGAACAGGTCAATAATTTTGGGATGTTACATCTAAATTTTTACATTACCCGGTATGTTTGGGGGCTGAAATTAGTGTGGGATGGAGTAGAGGGGGAGGGAAGTGAGGTGATTTAAAAAATAGAAAAAAAGAAATCCATGGTGGAAGTAAGGAAAATTACTACGTGAGGCAAATTGTTGGGTGGGTTCCATGCCAAATTTCTCACCTCCAAAACTGCACGGATTTGAACAAATTAGTAGGCTTAAAATTTTAATGACAAAAATATCCTCATTGAGGACCCTTTTGTGTCACCATAATCAATTATGGTAGAATCTTAATTTATTATCGTGGCATGTTATTTCCGTACAAGAGATCACCATAATTAATTATGATAGAATCATAATCCATTATGTGTCATATTAGAAATGTAGCAAAACCACATAATCCATTATGCAATTGGCATAGTTGATTATGTGACCATGGTAAAAATGCATGTTGAATATAATATAGCATAATCGATTATGCCAACTAGCACAATCAATTATTCTATTAAATTATATTAAAAATAAATAAAATCTAAATACTGTACATAAAAATAAAAATAAAAAGACAAAGGGTAAAAGGGTAAGTGTTTAAATTATTTATTTTTACATAAACTTTTAACTATATAAAATACAATTTTAAAATACCAATTTCCCTCTATTTCCATCTAATTTCATCTCAACGAACAACTACAATTTTTACTCTATTTCCTACCTATTTTTCATTAAATTATTTCTCACTTATTTCCTCCCTTTTCCTTCAATTATTTCCTCTCCCTACATGTGCTAATGACAAAATTAGAGATTTATATGTAAATGATCTATCTTGGTACATAATACACGACAAATTTATGGCAATACATGGTCCATGTAGCTGACCTCACCCACCTAATGAAAAGAGAAATCTGACTTGTAGAACAATTTGTACAATATCATTTTTTGTGTCTATCTCTCTTCATCACATTATTTATTACATTTACTAATGGAGAGAAATAGACACAAAAAATGTTGTACAAATTGTTTATGAATTGTTGTAGGTATATCCAAGAGTGTTGAAATCGATTCACCTAAGATCACGAGGGAGGTGAAAACTCATAAATTGAATTGTAAGATCTTACCTTCCTACCTAAAATACTTGTATATAATACACGTGTAAAAAATAACATAGATAAAGAAAATGACCTATAAGTCACAACATTAAACAACTTATATTAAAAATTCATAATCAAGATAAATCAAAATTTCATAACATAATAGAATTAACATTCATAATTTTATATATATATA